ATAAGTAGTTCCTAATGAATTACTTATAAAAAAATATTTTTAACTACTTATAAATAAAAAATAAATATAATAACAATAAGTTTTTTAAATGTTGTTAGCTAAAATTATGTCAAATGAGTTGCATTATCCAAATGTTAGTGTAATATAAAGTATAAATGGAGATTTGGAGACTATAAGATATTAATTTATGTAATTATTCCTAATAGACTGTAACATTTCACCTTCCACGTTCAATTTCAAGGTGTTTGTGTTTACACTTCTTTTATACTTAAATGCATTTTTGCGAATATCCTAAGCGTTTTTACTATATAGATTTAATTTTTCTATAGAAAAAACATTAATAGATAGAAGTTTGATGTAAATTTGTTTGGGCTAGGAAAACAAATATTACAAGAAATTTCAAATACTTAAAATAGTGAGGAAAATTTGCGATTTTATAGTTTAAGATTTATTGATTGAAAAGTTATTGAAATGTTGAGCTTACATAGTTATATAAAGATAAATTGATTTTGGTAATTTTTATATCAACGATTGGTATTTAAATAAAAAAACCTTCTCACAGATTAATAAAAATAAGTTTGAAATAATAATACCTATTTTTATAGTATTTTTAGTTTAAAAAATTACTGTTAGCTGTGTAATAATATTATTAATTATTATTATCATGATATGATATTTAATGATAATTTAATAAAATTAACACTTACTTTATAATTTATTGGTGATCCATTTTTATTGTATTTAATTCATTATATACTAAATCAAATTTATTAGAAATGTTTTTATTTATATCCACAGTGAAATTTACAAGTAATATGATTTTTACTGAAATTGTTTTAGAATTATTTTTGAATAAATATATATATAGGTATATATTTTATTTAATAAAAATAAATTACAATATCATATTGAGTTTAGATACTTGCGTTATTGCGTTAATTTCTTCTTATATTTAAATTTTAACTAGAATGATAATACTCATCACTGTATTGTGTTATTTTAAACGTTTATTTTATAGTGAAATTCTCTTATATAAATAGAAGGAATATCTATGATTGTAATAAATGGTTAAAATTTTATAAGAAATATCTGTTAATATTTTTGAATATTAATTATGAATTTTCTAATAATAAACCATGAATCCTATTTTTTATCAAAGTAATCATTTTAGATGTATTTTATTAAATATCAATTTCATATATTTAACCAGCAGATATTATTTTGTGATATTTTTCCGGAATATTTTGTGTGAATCATTGGTGAATGTCCATCTTAATAGTTTTTATCGTTATAATTATGAAAAACAACAAGTAATTATATTGCTATATAATTATTTTTCAGCCGTATTTTGTCAAATATTTACGTGAATAAATATATTTAATTATTTACAGATTGTTTTACCTATAAACATTGTATACAATGTTATTAAACATCAATTTCAAATAATTTTCAATTACATGATTTAAAACACTTGCTTGTAAGTTATCGTAAAATGTTAAAACTATAATAATAAAGTAAATATTAAATTTTTTAGAATGCATTGACAGTCTTAATGCGTGTTATTTTGTCTATCTATCACTGTTCAATTGAGTTGTTAGCTGTACAAGTGAAATGTACTAAGGCCACACGTCATTTAATTGTATCGGTAGCTCCTCGATTGACTATCTTTTCAATATAATTTATGCGTGACTTTTAAATGTTTAAAATAATAATTGCCGATCAATTAAATATCCGTCATAAATTTCGTAGTAATTTACATTTTTGTTTTTTTATACTACATCCTTCATATTCGTAAAAAATGTATATACACTTTTTAATTATAGGCAAAGTATGTAATTATGTTGCAGTTGACAAATTATAGATTAGATCATTTAGATCTACTTTTAAACTTTTGTGGTAGTTTCTAAATTCGTCAATTTTCACTGTAGTTTGATAGCTACATAAATAAATACTTAAAGTTGATGCATGTTAAATGGCGTGCAGTAGTGTCATATATTTTACAAGGTGGGAGGGAAATTACAACCTCGAACTATTCGTTTGAATAGTTGGATGGGTGGGTACTAGTTGATTATTTTTAGACGAGCTGCGCTGTTAATTGGGTGACGTTATTCCACTTGATCTATGACCTTTAAATTATGCATATTTCATTTATTTTGATTGAAGTTCTGAATTTTAGGTTTTTCGGTGTTTTGTATTGTTACATCTGTAGCAATGACTTAAAGAGGTATGTAATTTTATATTTTGTATGTAAAGGAATAATATTTCATCTATTTTCTATCGAGTGTATAATAATTAAGTTGACACAATATCATGTATAAGTGCGTCGTAATGATTAATCGCTCTGAACGCTATCTATTGATACGCGGACCGGCTGCACTGATGATCGTACTGTGCCACTAGCGATGCGTAGTGATGACTGTTTGGGTATGTAGCGCATAAAACCGTTAAAACTTGATGGCAAACATTATTGTGAACTTGTGAAGCACAGAAAATGTTCTCGCCAACAATTCAGTACACAACTGTTACGGGAATAACGGTAGGTAATGTTAAATGCACCATAACATAAAACAGATGAATACAAATTGTTTTTAATGAATAAACTCAATCATTTTGTTAATAATAGCAGAGATTATTTTTGATTTATTTAAAACACAAAATTGAATTTGTTATTGTTTGTAATCATAAAATACAACTAAAAACATTTTCAGCATAACATTTTTTTAATTAAATGTACATTTTTAATAAACTAATATTGAATACTAAGTGATTTTTAACTTTTTGGAAAATTTTTTTTTACAAGAATAAAACTTATGTAGGTACCTACATCACATATTATTATACGCTTTACTACGTCGAATATTGTATACGAAATAGGTAAGTATAATTTGAGCTTATCATCGAAAATCCCTTAATAAGTAGAATCAAAAACTTGACATGTTTCTGCCATAATTAATTTTTTTTACAGGTAATTTGGAAAATTATTAACTAATTTCCAACGAGTAATATTGTCATAATTTGTAATTTTTTCGAAGTTACTTATCATAATTTGAATTATTTTCATATTGATAAATACAATTACTTTATATTTAGATATGATCAGAATTGTGTAGGTATGTAAATGATATCATAATTTATTATTATTATTATTCATTTTTATTGACATATTTTAAATCTAAAAATTAATATTACCACTTCCATTATATGTTTAATAACTTAAAAACCAAGGTTTGTTAAATTTATTTTTACTATTAAAGTTAAAAAATATATTTTTCAAGACGTTCAAGTATATTATTGATAATTTCAAATTGCCTATTGTCTTTTTCTAAATAAAATAAATGTTATATTAAATTTAAAGAACCTTGTTTATGTTTAATATCTGTAAATTAATTTATAAAATGGTAAACTTATTTAAATTTAAATTATTTTAAAATGTCTTTAGTAAAGCTAAATTGATAATATTCTAGAAGTAATAAAAATAAAAATTGTTTTCTTTATTCCTTCGTTTAAATTTTAAATTTATATGGGGTGTTATTGTTTAAAAATTTACATCACCAAGTAATTTTAAATAGGTACATTATTTTGTATTATATTAATAGTTGTAAATTAGAAATATAAGTTGTATGATTGTTTTAATATTGAATACAATTTGTTTCCTATATTATATATTCATTATTCATTAAATAAAAATATATATTATTAAAATTTTTATAAATTCTAAAATATGTTGTTTGTATAATTTTTTAAGTATAAATTTCAATACATGTTTCTTGTCACACACACTCATTATAAAAATTATTAGATTCAAAGAATTATTTAGTTACAGGCTTATAGATTTATATTTAGTTTTTAACATTCTTTAAATTTTTAGTTTTATAATTAAATAATGATTTAGTAACATTCACAATGTACAGCAGTAATTGAACCGAAATACATTTGAAGTGTAAAATATTAATACTACAGATGCATGATGTAAATATTGTCAACCATAAAAATTTAAAATTTAAAACAAAAGTTGTAATTTTGAATATGTTTTTTTAAATGAGTAATGTGTATTCATATTATTATTATTATTTAACTAAAATTATAAAGTTCTTGTTAAATGTATTTCTGGGACTAGTATAATCCATAATTCATTGATTAAAATAATTATTAATTTTGTGACTGTTTTTAATTTAAAAAAAAAAAAAAGTGGGTCATTATTTAAATAACTACAGTGAATAGAAAAACTTAAGCAAATCTCATCATTAGGTAGATCGCTATAATAAATGTGATATACGAGTACCATTGCTTAGAAAAAAATATTCTGAGTGGAAAATGTGTATCACTCTGTATAAATAAATATTTTTATTTTATATTTACATCACTATTGTAATAATTTATTTTACTATACACGAAATTTAGTTTAAAACAAAAATATTTCATAGTAAGTTTATGATGAACATTAGAATTAAATGTTGTTACATAATACTCTTTTTTAATAGTCTTAAGTTATGACAAAATAATCATAATTTTTTGCTTAAATATATAACTTTGTCAAACTTTAAATTTATTTTTTTGATATTTTTAAATTATACTAGACCTATAATTAATTTTTCAATATTTTTAATTTAGTAAAAAAATTATTATCGACATAAAAATTAATTTTTCATAAAAAAAGTATTTTAAAATTTATATCATAGACAAAAATTTATGTATTTACAGTTAATGGCTTTTGAATAACTATTATTGGTTTTGAGTAAAAATTGAAGTTTTTTTCCTAATTTTTCACAATTATTAAAAGAAAGTACAGAGCATTTTTTGAGTTTGATCCCCTAAGTCTCAACTCCATTTATTTTTCTATCATAAAATTTGTTGCAGTTGAAAATCTAAGCTATATAATCGTTCCAAAATATAACAGTAGATGTGAAAAAACATTTCGCTCAAATTCTATGATATATATAATATGATATAATTGTAAAACTTGTAATAAGAGTAAAACTTAAATCCATTAAAAAAAAAACCTAAAACGTTTGTTCATTCTTTGCTTTGATCTGTTTAATTAAAACCGAAATAATCGAGTAGCAATTACTCATTGTCTGTAATAAATAAACAATAGAGATTAAAACATGTTTTAGAAAAAGTTATTCATAAAAATACCAAATTATTAGATAATCAAAATAAATTAACATATTTTTGTTTTCAATTTGTTAAAACCATTACTTCAATAATTTAATATGAATTCCTATTTAATTTCTTTTTGAGCAATTTAAAAAAAATCAAAATATATCACCAATTTTATTTTTCTGAGCCTTTAATATTTTGACAACGATATTAGATCAAATAAATTGTATTGTTTTATTGTATTAAATAATAATATAAATAGAAATTCGAATGATAAGTTACAAGTATATAATGCTTGATTTGGTAATGTTATAAAAAATATATAATAAAACAAAAAAAAAAAAAAATTTAAATATTTAATAAATTAAAATGTTATAAATTACTATTCCGTAATAGCTATTAATATCATGAATGCATTAGATTTGAATTTTATAACATCAGTAAAATATTAACAATATTAGTGTGTACTTACTTTAAAAAAAAATTCCAAGTTAATAATTTTTATTGTTGTAAATTTTAACTTTTTAAAGTTTGCATTATTCACTCTCATTGTTAATAATATTAATTGTTTGCATTTCATGTCCATTTCCGTCCAATTACTGCTGTACAATGAGAATATGATGGAATCTTTCTTTAATGAATAAAAAGTAGAATTAAAAATAATATTTAGTAAGAGCTTTTAAAAACCTGTGGTCGTATAATATATTGAATTAAATTAATGAATTGTCTACTGTGATATTACTCAGGTATTTATAGTTTTGAAATGTGAAGAATTTAAAAAATTACATAGATTGTGAAGCAAGTATTAAAACGCTTTTAATTTTTTATTGTTTAAATATTATACTCATGAATTAATATAGAATCGCAAATTTTGATGTATAATATGATTATGTTTTTTTAAAATATATCTTAGTACTCTTTGTTAAAAAAAAAAAAAAAAAAATATATGTTTAATTATAAAGCAATTCATAGGAAGTAAAAAGACTTAGCAATCAATAAATATGTAACATTTAAATTAATGATGTATTTCAAATAATTACTTGATCGTGTAAACTTCCAAATAAATAACACACCATATATATCTGAAAGGAGAATGTAGGAATTAGGCATATCATTTTTATGATTGTTTGTTCTGTGGTCTCGAATCCTTCTACGCCAGATAAAACCTAGAAAATAAATTGTAATAATCATAAAATTATTTCTACAATAGGTCATTTTTATTCAATATGCTAATGGACAATTGACAACTTAAAACGATTTATCATATAGTTTGATGATTTTGTTTGATGACTTGTAAGTTTATTTTACGGATGATTCAATAAAACGATGGAAATTAAAAAGCATCATTGCAAATTATTAGTAATTTATAATGACTCCTTGTACCGAAATAGAAGTTTAATAGTAGTATAAAATCGCGGTAAACTGATATAACTACTGTTATCAAATCGAAGTAATACGTAAATATATTACCATTATTAAAATAGACCAAATTAAGATGAGTCCCAATGATGAAATGAAAACTTGTATCAACATCATTCTTCCGAAAAGTGCTAAAAAAATGTCATATTTTCTAGAAAAAAAAAAAATAAATCAAAACTTTTAAACGTAAAAATATGATAACCATATAGCTTCATCTGACAATAATTAAATATAGTTTGGTGTTTATGAATTTTGTCCCAATCCGAAAAAATGTAAATTGATGAATAAATTGTGACCTAATCACCATTCGAATTACTTTTTCATCCTTGGTTTATGTTTATTAATAGTTGTTAGTAAACTATTGCTATGATAATCTTTTTTTGAATTTTAAAGGTTAAACCGTAACAGAAAAATTGCATCATCAATAATTTAGAATAATGAAAAGTACACTTGGAAACTGAAAAATATTAATTTATGTAATTATCTACGTAGGACGTAACATTTTGCCCACCACATACAATTTAAAACAGTTTTAGAAAATATTTCTTTTATATTTGAATGCATTTATTAGAATATCTTAAGCATTTTTATCATATGTACTTAAGTTTTCTTTAGAAAAACAGTAATAGATAAAATTTTGATGCGGAGTTGTATGGACTAGAGAAGTAAATAACTTAAGCAATCTTTTTTAAATTGCAGGTAAGCTATGGGTTAAGATAAGACAAGTTAATGAGATGGAAATAGCTTATGAATTGAAACGAAGTTAAATTTATTTTGATAATTTTTATACAAATGATTACTATTTAAATATAAAAAAATTTTAATGTTTTACTAAATTACAAAGAAGTTTAGAAAAATATAACCTATGTGTATATTATTTTTAGTTCAAAAAAAGATTTTAGCCGCATAATAAGTATATGAGAATAATATCGGGTATACTGTAATTCCTTATATACTAAATCCTGTTTATTTGACATCTTTGTATTAATCTCCACAGTGTAATCTACAAGTAAACAAAACAATTATTAAATGCGTTAAAGGTGTATTTAGAATTTTTTGTAGTTTATCAAAAATTTCAAGTTTCATACCAATTAATCTATTACTTAAAACCTTGAAAATTAGAATTTAAAACAAGTTTTTTAAACATTTTCTTTATTAATAATTTCAAATACATAAGAGAATTCTATAATACGATAAGTAAGTTAATATAATTTTTACTCAAGTGTTTTTGAAATTTTTGTCGAATTAATATAGTAATGATATATTTTTTTTTTTTATGAACTTTTTGCTTTTAAAACATTTAATTTAAACACTATCTAACATTATTTAATTTATCACTTAATATATGTTATTAAGTGAAAATCTTCTATACTAATATAAAAAATATTATGATTTTAATGTATGTTTTAACTATAAATTATAGATTTCTGTTAATATTTTCGAATATCAATTATGAACAAACTTTATTATACCGTATAAAACCTTTTTTTTTTTTATTAGAGTACTAATTCCAGAAAATGTTCAACTATTATTAATTGTTTTATGTTTATTAGAAGATATTATTTTGTGATATTTCTTCAGGAATATTATGACGTGTATTTTCATCAAAAATTTGTACTTACCAATTGGGGAATGAGGATTGGAAATCGACTTATGTCCGACTAATTCGAAGGCAGAGCCAATCATATGCATCTGACCGCAAATACCAAAGCACAGTGTAATCAGAAGAATATCGTATACTATAAATAATAGCACTACAATGATGGTGAGCGATGCTTCATAAAGAAAAAATCCGTTATAATTTGCATTGTACGTTTCGTCAGACCCAAGTATGTAGGTATTTAATACATTTTGTCGGTAATAACTAACCGTACCGTCAGGATTGTGAATTGGTGTTAAACTTTTACTGAATACCAGTGTGTTGCACGTGGAAAGTGTCGGAAACGTTACATATATAATGGTTATTATCGTCGAGAACCTGATAGAAGTTGCTCGCCAATTATCCAGTGTATGTCTCAACTTAAAGCCGAATGATGTAAAACCATACCAGGTGATCGACAGACAGTTCCATATTTCGTTTGAATGATAGAGAACGATCCACATCTTGTAGATTATGAACAAAGAGAATTCCACTTTCCAGAGATCTTCCATACCAATAGAAATATTGGTCGGAACATAGTACAAACAACTTACAGTAAACAGTATCGAAGATTTAAATACGTACATCAAAAAAAAATATAAAAGCAATATGGTAGACATTTTGACCTAGAAATTTTTTTGGTTCCGGGATCCAAGATTTGATATAAACCGATTCGTTTACTCAACCAAATGTTAAAAACATAGTTATTTTCGTCCCTAAAATCCATCGTATAGTCAATTATACCAAAAAAAAAATAGTTATATATATTATTCAATTGTTTGCTTTTGATATTTATACTAAAATTCGTCACTCTGGATTAAATTTTTAAATATTATAAACGTAATACACAAACAAACATATAAAATACGAATACAAGTGTATAAGATAGTCAATGTCTACCGATTGTGTGATAAAGACTAGAACAACATTATATTCATTTTCTTAGAAAATATTTCTGTTTTTTTACAATGACCAATGTTAATAAATAATAATTATAGTCATGCTATTCAATACCTACCATCTACTATAATAATATTTTATTGCTCTTTACCCTCCGATATTTAATCCTATATCAACATTATGCATGTTTAAACCATTATTACTATAGAAACGAAACATCTTTAATAATACAGTATAAGAAGGCTATAGAATTTTAACATTTTAATTTTAGATTATTTGTTTTAGATAACTAATAGTGAATACCCACGGTTTGGTTATGTGTTCGGTCATAAGTTGTGTGCTGCACATTTTCTGAATACATACCTATTATTTTTACAAGTAAACGCATACACTTGTACGTTCTATATAATAGTATAATATAATATAGAACATTGGTACAAACAAGGATTATAATAAAACAAAATATTTTATTATAAATATATATATATATATATAATATATTTTTTTTTTCATAATTATCTACTTATTGTTAATAATTATACATTTTTATTAATAATGTGCAATTAACATGACTATTATATCTAAATGTATTGAAAATCACAAATGAGTTTATATATATATCTATAGCTAAATGATCTAAAAATTAGAGGAAAACTAAAATAAATTCAAATAAAAAGCTACAAAGTTTTATCATTCTTGGTTTTAATTTGATTTATTAAAACAGAAATAACAGTGTATCAATTGCCCATTGTCTGTAATAAAAATAAAAAAATAAAATGAAAATATATCAAACCTTTTTTAAAGTATTTAATATTGTAGTATAACGATATTTAAATAAATAAGTTTTACTGTATTGTTTTATTTAAATAATTTTAATAATAACAGTAGAAATTAGAATGATAAGTCACAAGTATATAATAATTGATGTAGTACCTAATATATAAAGATATAATAATTCTCAAAAAAATTATTTATCATTATTTTAATTGAAATCCAGTAATAGCTATTTACTCTATGAATACGTTTGATTTGAATTTTATATTATCAGTAAAATATTATCAATACAAAACAAGTGTGTACTTACTTTAAAAAAAAATTCCAAATTTATAATTTTTGTAGTTGTAAATTTTAACTTTTTAAAGTTTGCATTATTCAACCTCATTGTTAATAATATTAGTTTTTTGCATTTCATGTCCATTTCTGTCCAATTACTGCTGTACAATGAGAATATGATGGAATCTTTCTTTAATGAATAAAAAGTAAAAATAAAAATAATTTAAAAAAGTATAAATATATTCAACGTTGGTTGGCAATATACATTGTGTAGCTAATATTTTAAAGCTTTTTTATTTTTTATTGATTAAATATTATATTTGTGATTTATGTAATATATAAAAATCTCGTGTCACAAAGTTTGTTACCAAACTCCTCCGAAACGGCTGGACTGATTTTCATGAAATCTTTTGTGTATATTAAGTAGGTTTCAGAGAGTGATGTAAACTATTTTTCATATTCTTAGGTGTAAAGGATGGCTCACTACAAATATTTATAACAACTGTTGGATATCGTCGATTGAAAATAAAAAAAAATAAAAAATAAAATATAAAAATAATAAATAAAATAAGATACAACAGTTGTTGCCAGGGAACTATATTCGATAAATACGCAGTCGTTTAATATTATGAAAAAAGATGGAAACGTAATCTACGTTAATAATTGTAAATATACAATTTATAGTTCCCTGGCAACAACTGTAACGAATTAATCAGAAACAACTTGACCGTTGAATGGGTCGGTCTAACACAATAAGCTTTCTCTCTCATTTATAAGAAAGGTTAATAATCACATATATAAACTTTAATTTTATCGATTTGTGTATTTTGTACAATGCCAGCAAGACGCAAGGGGTCTGATTTGGCCCGTCGAACGACCAAAAATACAATCATGCGAGATAGAAGAGCATAACCGAATGATGAAAATGTACGTGTGAACATGGTGCGATTGCGTGAGCCACAAACTGAACAAAATCAAAAAAAGACGATAAGAAGCGCGTCAATTCGTAGTTGACACACGCAGAGCAAATGACAGACAACGCCAACAAGTACATAGAGCAATTACATCCAATTCATTCCTTCGTCTAGCATTTGAGTATGGGTCCGATATTAAATATTACGCTCATTCGAAAGTAGAGATTGGTGTTATGGACAAGGAATGTCCGCATTGTAATGCGCTTAAGTTCAAAAATGAGCCAGCCGGTATGTGTTTCGCGTCAGGAAAAGTGCAACTACCGGAAATTGAAACACCACCTGAACCATGAACGGTTTACTTATCGGTACGGATCCAGATTCTAACCTGTTCCTGAAGTCAATTCGAACATTCAATTCATGTTTCCAAATTACATCGTTCGGAGCAACAGAAATAGTTAAAAATAATGCTGCAAATGGTAAAATAGTAACAATTTAATTCAACATTCAAAATCAAAGGCCAAGTTTATCATAGAGTGGGCTCATTGCTACCAATGCCAAACGAACCACATACATTTTTACAAATTTACTTTATGGGCGGTGAGGATATTTGGTGTTTTGTTATTTTTATGGGCCATCATCATTCACAGTGCTCCATTCATCTCAGTCATATACCGGTATACGACATTCCCTCTCACTTACAATAATTTAATTATTTTTTTATTTGAATACCAAAATAATCATTAGATATAATTTATATGGCAAAACAACGTTTGCCGGGTCAGCTTGTAGAAATATAATTTTTGATGTATTATAATATGATTGTTTTATTCAATGTGAATTTAAGTTTTGTTTATTTAGAGAAGAAAAATGATGTTTAATTATAAAACAATTTATAATACATAAGAACCTAATCGCTTAATAAATTAAAAAAAGTTAAAAATAATTATGTTTTTCAAATTACTTGATCATATAAACTTCCAAATAAATAACACACCATATATATCTGGATGGAAAAAGTAGGAATTAGCGATAGCATTTTTATTATTGTTTGTTCTGTTGTCACGAATCCATCCATGCCGGATAAAACCTAAAAAAATGTAGTTAAAATAATAAAATAATTTCTTCAATAATTTATTTTTATTCAATAAGCTAATAGACAATTGACAACTTAGATTTATCATATAATTTAATTATTTTTATTTTATTTTTTTTTTTTAATTGAACTTAAGCCCGGCAACTAGGGCCATTAGCTGTTTGTAGGAGTTATGAACTATGGTAAGGGGTAAGATTGGTATGGTAGGTTGTATTATACGATTGTTACGGTTGATAGCAAACACGTGTATGTGTGGCAAGGTTTTTAACTACTATGATCCCGAATGGTCACCTATCCGGGAGCTAGTAGCTGTGGCCGTTATTTACTCTCAGTCGCATACCGTGACTGGTAGCAGCCAACGCGCCACGCCAAGTTACCTTTAATGACTTTGTTTGATTACATGTAAATATATTAAACAAACGATTAAATAAAACATTTTGAATTAAAAAAAACATCATTTCAAATTATTACAATTTAATAATTTTTCAATAACCCCATTAGCTTAAATATCTGTTTAAAATTAAATTAAAATTGTGTTAAATTAATACAGCTATTGTTATTAAATTTAAGGAATGGAAATTTGATTACCATTATTAAAATAACCCAAATTATTATGAGTCCTAATGATGAAACGAAAATTTGTATCAACATCGCTTTTCTAAATAGTGCTAAAAAAACTTCATATTTCCTGGAAAAAAAAAAATTAATTATTATGATATAAAAATTTGAATGATTTCCTAGGGCGTTTTCGAATTGCAATCAAGTAGAATAAACGTATCTTCATTAATAAAATCATATTCAACTCGTACTTTTTTCATTTTAACACATTGACGGACAGTTTTCATTTATCTAAATTCCCATAACCTATTTTTAAAACGCACTTTTTTATTACCGCTACAGCAGTAACGAAATCATTTACATTTATAAATATTTTCTTTTAAAATATTTCTAGGAAAATTTTTTTTTTTTGAATTTTAAAGGTTAAACCTTATTATATTCATAATTCTGTGCTGTGTTAACTATATACATGGTAGGCGGTGCCTGTAAAATAATATTTTATGTAATTATCCCCATTAAACTGAAACATTTCGTGCTCTACATCTGTTTTCAAGATTTTTTACATTTGAATGCGTTTGCATAAATTTTAAGCATTTTTGGATAAAAAATAAAGAAAGATAGAAATTTGATTTAATATAATTATCGACTGTGAAAACAAATTTTAATGAAGATAAATTTATTTTGCTAATTTTTTACTGATAATTATTTAAATAATTAAAAAATGGAAAAAATGAAAAATGAATATCAAAATTGAAAGAAGTTTAAAAAAAAATTATTTATAAAGATTTATAGTTTAAAAATGCTGTTTACTGTATAATAAGTATTCTAATTAATGTAATGATATATAGTATTTAATGATAATTTAATAAAAATAAGTCATACTTCATAACTTCTTGGTGATCCACTATGGTTGTTTTTAATTCATTATATATTAAATCGTGATCGTTAGATGTCTTTCTTTTTTTATCCACAGTGTAATCTATATGTAATTAAAACAATTTTCATAAGCATAAGTGGAATAATTAGAGTTTTTCTAGTTAATAAAAAAGGCACATGTTTCATACGAACTTAACCTCGGAATTTAGGTTCTATTTGTAAATTTAAAAGTAAATTTCTCAGAAAGTATCTTTATTATTAAATTAATTAACTTAATATGATTTTACTGAAAATTTTCGGAAATATTTTTGAATATATCTGTATTGCCATTAATATTTCTAATATAAATACATAACTATCTCATTCTGAGTTAAATAACTTGTAATCGTTTCTTTATATATTATTAATCGTTATAATATATTATTTATAACGTGAAAGAGATTATTCTAAAAAAATATAACGAATATTTATATTTATAATTAGTATTGTTACACTACAAATAATAGATTTCTGTTCATATTTCTAAATATGAATTATGAATCACCTAAATATTTAGGTATAAAACTTTATCCTAATCAGAGCAATCATTTTAAATATGCTTTAAATAGCATCAATTGTTTTATGGTTTTTAGGAGATTTTTTTATAATAATCAATCTGGGATATTTCGAGGTGTATTTTTATCAAAAGTTCGAGCTCACCAATTGAAAAATGAGAACCGGAAATCGATGTATGTCCAATCGATTCGAACGTAGAGCCAATCATGCTCATCTGACCGCAAATACCAAAACATAATGTAATTAGAAGGACATCGAATAGGACGAATAACATTATTATACAGTAAGTGATCGATGTTTCAGCAAAATAAAACACGTTATAATTTGTATTGTACGTTTCGTCAGACACAAGTATGTAGGAGTTTAAAAGATTTTGTCGGTAATAGCTAATCGAACCATCGCGATTGTGTACCGGTATTATGTTATTACTGTATATCTGTGTGATGCCCATCAAAATAGCCGGAGTAAATAAATACATAATGGATAATAACGTTGAAAACCTGATTGAACGTTCTCGCCAATGATCAAGTATATGTCTCATTCTGAAGTCGAATGATGTATAAATCCGTACCACGTGATCGACAGGCAGTTCCATATTTCGTTCGAGTGGTTTATAATGATCCATGTCTTGTAAATTATGAACAACGCATTTTCCGCTATCCAGAGGTCTTCCATGCATATAGACATATTAGCCTTTCAATAGTTCAAATAATACAAACAACTAACAGTAAACATTATCGTACTTGCATATACGTACATCAAAATGAATGTAAAAGCAATATGGTAGACATTTCGACCTAGAAATCGTTTGGTTTCGGGATTCAAGATTTGATATAAACCTATACGTTTGGCCAACCTAATGTTAAAAACATAGTTATTTTCGTCTCTTAAGTCCATTATATAATCAAATACACTTTTATAGAAAAAATAGTAATATTTATACTAAAATTTCTCGCTTTTGGTTAAATTTTTTAAATATTATTATACACGCGATATACAAATCATTTAAAATACAAATACAAGAGTATTAGACCGCCTCGATGTCTACCGATCGTGTGCTATAGATTAGAACAACACAATTTTTATTTTTATTTACCTAAAAACTTTTCTATTTTTATGTAACGGTTAAAGTTATTGAATATAAACTGTTGTCATACCTACCAACTACTATAGCCCTTTATTCCTAAATGTTTTATCCTTTATTAATATCATACATGTTTAATTCCATAATATTGCTACATAAATGTAACTTCTAAAGTTATAAAGTTTAAAAAACTATAAAATATTAAAATTAAAATTATAGTTTATACATTTTCGACTCGTTTTATAAAATCTACAATGTACGGCATTTCGATATAGTAAAATATGTTAAAATACGTGTTGTACGTTTAATTCAATAACCATAAATTGACTACCCTAATGAGATGTTGAAGTGGAGAAAATCTTTTTAACTCGACTATTGTATCACTTAAATCAGCTGAAATATGCTTCACACGCCCACAAAATCATCTACAGGCGATGAATACCTTACTCATTAAGGCCGTAAGAATGGAGAACAGAACAGTACTATTTCGCATTTTGACGAATACCTATCTATTTTTTGTTCTATTTAGACCAACTCATTATCTATCTAAACGCATTTAATTATTATTTGAGTAATTCGTATGCTCACTTATATAGCATACACGCTGAAAATACGAAATTGAAAGAAAATACAAAATTATGCTATAAATACAATTAAATGGTCTAATTATATATTAAAACAATTTACTTTTGATAAATGATTTCCTTTATAGTTGTAATGATCTTTTTATGTTAATTTCACATTTAATAGTACCTACTTACTTTTTTCTTTTTTGATGTAAATTTTATGTAAAATTCCAAATTAACAATACGTCTTATTACAGTAACTAAGAAGAATTTTACTAAAATAAACATAATTATATATATTGTTTTGTTATTATATTTACATTAGTTACCTAGAAATAAATTTAAAATTATGATTTTTACTAAATTGTTCTTGGCACCTAATTTATAATTACTACCTATACGTCTGTACGTTTCGTGTAAATATGAATATTTACTACGGTTTTATGTTTTAAGTTATAACTCATAACTAAAAACACCCTACTTCAGAGTATTAGTACATGCATTCAGCTATAACTGATTAACGATCTATACATATACTCTTATATATAATTTTGATGACACCAAAGCTATTTTTATCTTAAATAAATTAAACATAAAATTTGTGTAAAAAAAATCTTCGTATCAATTCTAAAACATATCATTGTATCTAAATCAATATTTATTTATTTTTATAATGATTGTTGGTTATTTTATTGTGTAATATGCCTTATTTCTATTTTCAAAGAATAACATTGATATTGTTTAAATTTAATCTTATAATGCTAATCATACAAACACTATTTTATTTTTTAAATAGATTTAATGTATGATTTGTGTAAAAAAATAATAAACAATAAAAAAAATGTATCAATTCTATAATATGTCATTGTAACAAAACCAACAATTTATTTTGGTGTATAAAAATAAAATAATATAAAAAAAACTGCATTTACAGTATTAACACATTAATACGGTAACGAGTAGATAAACAAAACTCCAGGACTTTACCAGTTTACCTTTATTGAATTAAACAGTATCACCTATCGGACATCTGTACGTGAATATACTGATAGATAATATTTTTAAAAATAACAACAAATTTCTTTGCAGTTCATTTATACCTATCATATTTTACAGCACTACATGGTATCGATGACAGTTATTAATTTTATGGAATATAAATGTACACATTTCAGTTTTCAGTAATTTGTGGAAAACTTTACTTGTTTATCAATTTATTGTTTACAAAACTAATAACAAATGATAATTATTATGTTATTAATATTATATTTTATATTTCTGCAGTCTAAAATAGTCAATTAAGTAATAGTAGGTTATGAACATATATGACACAGCCATAAAAGTCAGTCGGTAGTTAATAACATTTAAATCTTAAAGTTCCTAAAGCCCTGACACAAACTACAAACAGGATCAACTCATTTATATAGTAATATTTCTCATGATATTTATTTGAATATTTGATACTACTTACATTTTATGATTGATTTAACGAACAATCAAAAAACAATCTAAATGTGTAGCTGTGGCGTTATGCTGTTATAGATTTTACTTCAGAGTGAGTCCCACAAATGTATTTTGGTCTAGATACCTACGTGATACCAGTGCCATTGTACTACTTAGTATCCAATTTAGGCTCCACGGGTCAAAAATTGAAAATATACATTAATTTTGAAAATAATTTAAGGGTATTTGTAAATTATGTAACATAACTAAAGCACGTTTTAATAAATAAAAAAAAAAAATGTTGACTAAGTCCTTAAAATGCACTTTTATTTTGAAATGTTATCTTCAGTAGGTCAACCTATTCATTTTAATACAGAACTATAACTTCAATTTATTTGAGCAGCTTATATTTGGTTAGATGAATAACCCAAAATAAAATATCGTTTTAGCGAATATTCGTTTTCCTTCCCATTTTTAGAAACTTAAGACTGTATTATGTTGTCATATAATTTACTATATTATACGTATTATTAAAGACCAGATTTTGCATGAAAACCATGTTGCTATTTTCAACATCATATATATGTAGTCAATAAATGTCCAGAAATCATGAATTAATTGATTTAGTATCACAATTTTATACTACATATTTTTACATATTATGACATTAGTGAATATTCTGTATATTTTTGCATATTTTAACAATTAACCGTACAAATACACACCTAACAATCTAAAAAAGTGTTGAGCAAAAAAAAAAAATTATAGGTACGTTTATATAATATCAAATATTTTATGTCTCAAAGAATAATCTTTGATAACTTATTATTTATCCAATTGACATACTACATTAAATGGTACTTTTTTCCTGTTTATATCAAAAATTTATCTACTTTTTAATTTTAATAAAATATATTTTTTACAGTGTATTATCCAACGATTAAAAATTAAATTACAATTTAACAAATTAAATTTTTGTATTGTATATTTAATATATTGTACATCTTATACTTTTTGTTTATGAAAATTTAAATATAAATAATGAATAATTATTACTGTAAAATAAAAATAAAAAATAAAAATGTATAAAAATTTAAATTTTATTGTGCATTTTTTCTTGCATATTCTAACTTTTTTTAGTGCATGTTTGCATGCATATTTTACGATTTATAATATATATAAATCCGGTCTTAACTTATTATCTTAAATTAATTTTTTTATTAGTATGGACTATGATATCTTTTAGGTACTTATTTGTTTAATTTAATCTATTTTTATTAATTTTCCAGTTTGATATTCTTCCCATAATTTTAATATATGTTTGTAATTTATTTTGACACTTTAAAATTCAGCAATCAGCCAAAACGATATAATAATAATATTTAATTGGAATAAATATATGAAAATTATTGTATAGGTTATATCAATATAACTTCCTATTATTCAATAATTTATAAATTCAGCAAAACGATTGGTTAATTTCTCGTCCAAATTTTGGTGAATTTGGATCCAAATGAATGACGCCAATTGAAATATAAAATTAAAATTAAATTTTTATTGTTTGTCTTTACAAACAACAATAAAAATATTTTTAATATTTTAAGCATAACAAGGTATTAATTAAATTATATTATGGTTTTAGCCATTTATATTGGTATTCAAAATAAATAGTTATTTTACAAATCTTTAAACAATTTAAAACATTTTGAGTGGAGGGCGTGTTCGACCCCTCAGATGCGGCAATGGTATTCGGTGATGAACTGATATTGTTATATACTCGGTGGAGATTTTATCGTAAATTATACATTATTTAGACCATATATGTTACATACCTATCAAGTATCTTATTTGCTCTAATACCTATAATTATCAATATAACCATAACGGTTGTTTGGTTTATCAAAAATGAACATAAGAATAATCTTACAGCTACAATAAGAGATCATTTGTCAACAGTAAAATATTTAAGTAAATAAGAAGACCATACTTAATTGCATTCCTTGCATCATTTGTACTTTCTTTGATTTCGTATTTTTAACGTGTATGCTAAATAAGTGAGCATATGACTACACAAATAATACTTAGATGAGTTTAGACAGGTAATGAGCTTTTCGTCTAAATAGTAAAATACATAAGTATCTGTGGAAATTTGAAAAAACTCTGTTCGGTTCTCAATTCTTACAGTAAAATGAGATGAGTATTCATCATGCATCAATGATTTTATAGATGTGAGAAAAAACTTCCAGTTGGTTTAGGATGTACGACATCGAGTTATAAAGTCACGATGGATCGTCCCCCAACAAGATCGTTTTAACAATGTCAACTCATTGTTATCTAATATAACACCAACATATATTTTTATTTTTTATTAAATTTTACTATAAACGAGTCAAAAATAAATAATTTTAAAATTCTATAGTCTTCTTATACTGTATTATTAAAGAAGTCTCATTTGTATAGTAATAAGGGTTTAAACATACATTATGTTGATATTGCATTAAATATCGAAAGGTAAAGGACTATAAAATATTATCATAGTGGTTGGTTGAAATTGGATTGCATGACAATAATAACTATTTATTAATTTAACTCATTGTAAATAAAAAGAAAAAATTCTGAGAAAATACAAATAAAATGTTGTTGTCCCAGTCAGAACTAATTCAGACTATCACGGATCGGTGAAGTCGGTGGTCTTATATTATTGTATACATATTTAAATATTACTATTTTTTCTGTAAAAGTATACTTGATTATATAATGAACTTGAGGGAAGAAAATAACTATGTTTTTGACATAAGGTTGACTAAACTTATGGGTTTATATCAAATTTTGGATCCCCAAACCAAACGATTTCTAGGTCGAAATGTCTACCATATTGCTATAGCATTCATTGTAATGTACGTATTTACAAATACGATAGTGGTTAGTTATAGCTTTTTGCACTATTCGTACTATTTAATAGACAATATGTCTACAAGCATGGAAAACCTCTGGTTAGCGGAAAATACGTTCTTCATTCTCTACAAGATTTGGATAATTATCCACCATTCAAGCAAAATATGGAACTGCCTGTCGATTACGCGGTACGGATTTACATCTTTCGGCTTCGGAAGGAGACATATACTGGATCATTGGCGAGAACGTTCAATCATGTTCACGGCGTTATTTACCATAATGTATTATATTTGTCCGTTTATTATGATATTCATCTCACATTTATTCAATAAAAGTATAACACCAATACACAATCGAGACGGTTCGGTTAGCTATTACCGACAAAATATCTTAAACTACTATATTCTTGTGTCTGATGAAACTTACAATGCAAATTATCACGTGTTTTACTTTCTCGAAGCATCGGCCCTACTTTGTATTGCAACATTATTCATTATGTTTGATGTACTTCTAATTACACTATACTTTGGTATTTGCGTTCAGATGAACATAATTGGCTCTGCGTTCGAATCAGTTGGACATAAATCTATCTCGGGTCCTCATTCTCCGATTGGTGAGCTCGAACATTTGATAAAAATACACATTGAAATATCCCAGATTAATAATTATAAAATAAAGAATCTTAAAAACCATAAAACAATTGATGATATTTAAAGCTCATCTATAATAATTGCTCTGATTAAGAAAAAGTTTTATACTTTATTATCTGGGCCATTCATAACTCATTATTCATATTTTAATAATTCATTTTTATACTATAGATTTCTATGATGTTATTTAACCTTACATTTACCCAGAAACTAGCTTTTTTTATTTTCAAATAATAACAAATTTCAAAAATTTAAGTATTAAAAAATTGTATAAGAAACATGTGTATTATTGATAAACTAAAAATTTCTTACAATACTCTTTACACGATTACCAGGGTTTTTTTTTTTTTTTTTGTTTACTTGTAGATTACACTATAGATACAATAAGAAAGAAAGCTGACGAACACGATTTAATATATAATGAATTAAAAACAGTAATAATGGATCACCAAAAAATTATGAAGTAAGATATAATTTAAATAAATTATTATTAAATACATAGGGTATTTTATAATGATAATACTAATTAAACAGCTAACAGTATTTTTTCAACTAAAATTACTATAAAAATTTATGTAACTTTCCAAAATATTTTAATACAACTGTGACTTTTTTTTTTCATTTAAATAACAATGATTAGTATAAACGTTACCAAAATATATTTATATTGATTTAAATTTGTAAACTTGTTATTTCATATCTTAATAATTAATAGATTTTATATTGTGAAATCGAAAATGTTTCTTACTTATAAGTTATAACTATATAAAAGTTGTTAAAAAATAATTGTTTGCAAAACAATCTTGAAATTTTATCTAGATATTGAAATGTTATGGCTTACTGGAGATAATTACATAAATTAATATTTTTCAGTCTCCATGTATATTTAAGTATTTAATATTACATTAAAAAGTGTAATAATGTACGCTTAAGCTATTATATTTCTTTTTGATATAAAATGTATAATACAATAATTATAATAATTATTAATATCTATTAAGTACCAGGATAAGTTGAAAATATTGAAAATGAGGACATTAAATTATATTACATAAACACACAATCCTAGAGACGTACACACTCACAAACATTTGAGGTTAGATCGTAATTTATTCATAAAATAACGTTTATTCAGTTTTGTGTGCAATGCTTAAACGCTCAATTATATATTTAATTATTGTCAGTTGAAGCTAAGGATAATAATTTTATGTTACAAAAGTTTTAATTAATTTTTTTTTCCAGGAAATATAACATATTTTTAGCACTTTTCGGAAAAATGATGTTGGTACAAGTTTTTGTTTCATCGTTTGGACTCATTTTAATTTGGGTTATTTTAATAATGGTAATTTAATTACGTATTACTTCAATTTTATAACAAGTCAATTTAACACGATTTTACATTACTCTTAAACAGTTGTATAGTTATCAAACAAAATCATTAAATTATATGATAAATCGTTTTAAATTTTCAATTGTCTGTTTGATTACTAAATGTACATAACTTAATGAAGACAGGACATCATTATTTTCACTCCTTTTTTTTTTAGATTTTATCCGGCGTGGATGGATTTATGACCACAGAATTAACAATTATAAGAATGCTATTCTTAATTCCTATGTTTTCTTTTCAAATATTTATGGTTTGTTATATATTTGGAAGTTTACATGATCAAGTAATTTAAAAAAAATTATTATTTTAAATATTGTTTGTTTGTTAAGCGATTAGGTTCTTATGTATTATAAATTGTTTTATAATTAAACATATTTTATTTTTCTGTAAATAAACAGAACTGAAATTTTCTTCGAATAACACAATCACATTATACATCAAAAATTGTATTTCTATATTTAATCACAAATATAATATTTATTCAATAATATAAAAAAAAGCTTTGATATATTAGATTCACAATGTATATTGTCAACCGAAATTGAATAATATTTAATTTTATTAATTATTCATATTTCAATACTATAAACACTTATAAACTGTACATAAAACACAACTAATTATAAAACAATAGGTTTTTAAAAGCTCTTACTAAATATTCGTTTTAATTTTACTTTTTATTCAATAAAGAAAGATTCCATCATATTCTCATTGTACAGAGTTATAAATTTGAAATTTTTTTTTAAAGTAAGTACACACTTGTTTTGTATTGATAATATTTTACTGATAATATAAAATTCAAATCAAACGCATTCATAGAGTAAATAGCTATTACTGGATTTCAATTAAAATAATAATAAATAACTTTTTTGAGAATTATTATATCTTTATATATTAGGTACTACATTAATTATTATTTACTTGTGACTTATCATTCTAATTTTTACTGTTATTATTATAATTATTTGAATAAAACAACACAGTAAGATTTATTTATTTAAGTATCGTTATACTACAATATTAAATTTTTTAAAAAAAGTTTTGATATATTTTCATTTTATTTTTAATTTTTAATTGCTAAATAAGAAATTTACAGTAAAAATTCAAATTAAATTATTGAGTTTACTGGTTTGCAAAATTGAAAGTAACAATATGTAAATTTATATTAATTATCCAATTATTATGATTCTTTATGAATAACTAATAAAAATTTCAAATTAGTCGAAAATGTTATTATTTTTTTTTTTTTTTATTTATTACAGACAATGAGCAATTATTGCTATTCTGTTATTTCTGTTTTAATAAATCAGATTAAAAGCCAAAAACAATAAAACGTTGTACTTTTTATTTGAATTTATTTTAGTTTTCCTCTAATTTTTAGATTCATTTAGCTATATATATATATATATAAACTTATTTGTGATTTTCAATACATTTAGATATAATAGTCGTTTTAATTGCACATTATTTATAAAAATGTATAATAATTAACAATAAGTAGAAAATTATGAATATAAAATAGTTTAATTTAATTTTACTGTTAATAATTTTAAAGCTATCAGAATTTATATTGTTTTTTTCTTTTTTGACTTCAATGTAAATTCAAAAGTTCAAAAAGTTTATTTCATTGAATATTTTATAAAATTGAAATTCTTTAGAATGGAAATTGAAGTGAAATCACGGAATTTTCGGAATATAATTGTGTATGTTGTTTAATAGCTTATTATAATTTTAAATATTCCTATGGATTTATAATTAAAAATACGGATATACCCGTTGGAGATTTATTACAAGAACTTGCAATGCACCAATAAATTCAAACATGAATGATATTTTTTGTCAACAATTGGAGAACAAACCATGAATTTTAAATGCATATATTTAAAAATACAATATTTTTATTAAAAAGAACATGTTTTTTTTGTAGTTCATAATATTTATATTTTAATAAACGTATCAATAGTTACCTGATATGTTAGTTGCTTAATAACATATTGATTTATTTTTCTAATATTATTCTTAACTTTTTCGTTGTTATTCTCATTTGAATAATTATTGTGCTTAATTTAAACATTGTCCAGAAACTGATACATTGCTATTGAATTAGTTTATAATTTTTTCTTTATAAATCCCTCTGTTTATATTTTTATATTTGTAACAAAGACAAACTACTGAGACGTTTTTGACCCGATGTTTTCTGTAAATAAATTTTAAAACAACGTAAACATGAAAAACTTATTTCACACGAATCTGTATTTGTGGAGTTGTTAAAAATGTTGTAAAATTAAAATTGAATATATAAAAGGAAAACCTAATCTTATTTCATGATTTATCATGGATTCAATTTTTTTTATGTATAATATTTTCTTTAGGGATATCAGGGATATTTGGTAGCAAATTATCTATTGAATATATCCAGTTTATTTTTTAAAAGTTGCATATTTAATATTATTTAATTATTATAAATACTAATGTTAGCATATTATCTTCATGTTTTTTATAATTAATTTAATTCAATAAATAATAAAATAGAGTTATATTTTAGAGTTTAGTTTATTTTAGTAAGTACTTCTACTATATAGTAGTAGGGGATATAAAAGTAATTACGCCACTGCACAGACATATTTCAATTAGGGTAGTAGATGCACATTTTATATCGGTTACCAGGTCACATTAATATTATATGTTCTTTATACCTACCCAAGTGAACCTTTTTTTTTTTTAAATTAATTCTCCAGTTTAAAAAAAAAAAGTCCCTCGTCATTAATAATACACAATACATAGGTATTGTATATGATTACTTATATTGCTGTTGCATAACATGATAGTTTTACACATGCCATAGTTATAGTACGGTAAATCCAAAACAATAGGAAAATTCTATAACTGATGGTTGTATCATTTTTTGAAAATAATCATTTTTAACTTTAAAAAACACAAAAATTTCGTATGACCTTCATTGTCGTAATCATGTGATGAAAGGATGGCTTTAGGTGTGCAGCATATTCCTGCAACTGTTTTTATTTTAAATTTAACATCACACCAAATGTGTATACATTTATTTAACTTTACCATAATATATTTTATCGAAATAATTTAAAACAAACTTAATCTTTATATGCTAAATGAAAGTATATATTATTTTAGATATTATTTTTCGTAATAAATCTTATTGCTCAAATATATATCATGACTTACATTTTATTGTTTTTTTAATATATGTATAAAATAAACCACTGACCGTTTGAATATTATTTTATCACAGATAAACGACGCACATCTATTGTAACTTCATATAATAAATAACACACTTTATTATTGCCACTTGTCAGCCCCTCTTAATACTAAATGTAAAAACAAATTGTGTAATTCATTAATTCAAGGAGTTTGTTCAAATTTGCAAGACCTTTTTCAAAAATACGAATAACTAACAAAGCCCAATGTTTTTTCTTATTGATTAAATAACATTAATTGTAAATACTTTCAATAACCATTAATTTTAATGGTAAATTATTTACCAGACATCCATGACAATTCAATTTTTTAATACTGCTTTATAAACATTTGATTAGAAACGTAAGTTAAAATATCATAAAAATAATCAATTTTTTATATTTAGAATGTAATTTTTTTTTAGTGTGTATTATCTGTTTATATGATAGGTAGTCAATAAATTGATTAACATTATATTCCTAAATTTGTTTCTAAAATGTAAAATGTAATACCTACATACTTCCTCATAAGATATTTATATATCTGTATACATTTTTTTTTTTTTAAATAAATTGTAGGTAATTAAGG